TTGCATCATTGTCGTCACGTCCGAAGATCGCGAGTTGCGCAGGGCGCGCCGGTATACGATTTGTTCGTTTTCCATCCCGCTCAGGCGCTAAACTCCTTGGTCAGCAAAGTCAACGTCGAAGAAAGAGGTTGCATGGATGTCGTGCTGCAGCTGCTCTGCTTTTATGTCTGTGGCTGAACGGTATGCGATATGATACTGGGATATCCATGTCAATTATGAGGGCACGCAGCTTGATTAGACAGCTTGGCGTTGCGATCGCCCCGAAAAGACTCGCGCACTCACTGCGGCTGGTGCGTCTTTATCCTATCAATTCCGGCCCATTGAAACCCATGCGGGTATCTTGGTCTTGGAGCCATCATCGCATTTTAGTCATTGTCTTCGGGCAGACTCCCTGACTACGCTCTTTTCCTAGGGCGGCTCGCTCGCAGCCGCCGCTCAAAGCTCAATCTTGAGCCGGATGGTGCGCCCTATATAAGCCCTCATTGACTTGCGGGTCAAATATTGCTCCCGATAATCTGGCACCCTTCCTGAGATTTCATGCCTCCCGCGTCTCCCTCAGATTTTGATCAGACCACTCACAATGCCGCTGTGGCCCTCCACACGAACCAGGAACGTCGGGAGACCAAGGGCGAAAAGCTCCTCGATACTGCCGGTACATTGCATTTCCGCTCGGTTTTGCAGGCGATCGCTGACTGAATCGGTACCTGCAGGCAATACGTACGAAGTTGTCTCCGGTATTTACAATAGCGGGTATGTCACTGCGACGTCCGGTGCCGTCTCGGCTGGGATTGCGCTGCTCCAGCCGGAGCTGGACAACTTCAAAAGCAACTGCGATATTCTTATGAAGGCTCTGGATGCCGTTGCAAAAATTCATCCATTTGTCACGGGTACGGGCGGACGATTTGCAGGAGACTCGGGCATTTGCTAACTAGTCTTAGTTGCGGTCTTGGCGTTCAAGGCGGCAGTGACCCTCGAGATGACGCGCAGACAGAATGACAAGCGATGCGTGGCTCTTCATGTCAGCATGTCAGACCTAATGGCCGTCATCGGGCTGTGAGTCGTGCGCTTCTTCGCCGCGCTAGTCCAGCTTAGTCTAACCAATCTACGCCGTCTAGTCTGCGAAGCTTAGCAAAAGACGACTGCGGCTCTGACGGCGTCACGATCGGGGACCGCCTCCGAGATCGGATGCAAGCCATTGCGAAAGACATTGAAACGTGCGCAGCAACTTGCGACAGTTTCGAAAAGAAGAAGCTCATTGGTGTGTTCAGCGGTATTCGAGTTTGGAACAGCGCTGATGGATCTGCCAGTCAGACTCTTTAAGAGCATCGCTTGGGAAGACAAGCTCGAAGCCTTCGCCACTACATTCGACGGCCACAAGGATGCGCTGCAAAAGGATCTGTCCATGCATAGTGCGTTGGGGATAGAGCGCGCTAGTCAGAGGCTCTCCATCGTCGATGCGGTGGTGAAAGCAAGCGGGACGAAGCTGGATATGGTCCTGCTCTTCCAGCAATTGCGATCTCCCGCAGAGCGCGAGCTCTGGAAGTTCGTGGAGAGCAGGGGCGGCCCGGAGAAGTTCCTCCAAGATGATGCGTTGATGAACGAGCTGATTTCACGTACCGAGAAAGATACCACCGAACAGCTGACGTCTGTGAACGAGGTCAAATATGATATCCGGAAGGACTTGGCAGACATTATCAAAGAGAACTTCGAGGTCTCCGAGAACAAATTCCAGGCTCTGCAGGTCAACATCCGCGCACAGATGGAGCAAACTGTTCGACGCGAAGGCGACCGTATCATCGGTACCCTGCTTTCTGGTCCCGCGGACCGGATTATCGACCCCGTAAGTGCTACCCCCGATGCCTTCGTGCTATTATATTTATAGACCGCCGTAGAATGTCTGGGAAATATGGCACGATATGGTGAGCGTCCTCCCGTACGATACGGTTCAAAGCCATTCATCTCGCCACAGGGCTGGAGAAGCAGCGCCAAAGCCAGACATCTGGTTATGGCATTACGGGAGTTCTACGCAGAGCGCTACGCCGACGCGGCAGATGAGGGCGTGGTCACGCTTGCGATTCCAAAGAGCCGAGGGAACACGCCCGTCTCCCCGCATCTGACAACTATCTTTCAAGCGCCTAGCCGCAAAGCTATCGGTGTCCCGCCTGAGTACCGGTGGACGCTGGACTACATTACTATCCTGCGTATTCAGCCGCTTTTGGAGGCATTCGACGACGACGCTTCGAGCTTTGTGACTGTCAGCGAGGTTAATGCTTTCACGCATGCGAGACCCAGGGGCTGGAGGTACGTGCTACTTCGTGCAGCAGGCGCAAAATAGCTGAGGATAAAAAAAAAAGCTTGCCTCATTGGATGGCATACTGGACGATTGGTGCGCAAGCAACGTTGCCTCGAGGTCTAGGACTGAAGATGGCTCATGTCTTGCAGGCTACCCACTATCGATGAAGTATTACCATGACCGGATCCAGCGAATTATCCGCCAAATAGCGGACCTTTCGGACGATATATTCCCCGAAAACAGGGCAATATATGACAAGTTAAATGGTTCTGATATCCTCAGCAACTTCGAATTCATACTGGCCGCGGCGTTCAAGGCCGAAGACCACATCACGTGGGACTCGCAGTTGTTCGACAAGTTCAAGAGCTACGTCATGCAGGAGGAAAAACGCATGAAGGAGACCCTTGAGACCGTCAAGTACAAGATCGATGCTCCGAGCACTCTGACGCTGCTACTCGGCTCGGGGCGTCTTGAGAAGGTATGATTACCAACTTGACGAGGCTCGTGGCTGATTGAGGGTTGGCTAGTACCTCCTGCCCCTTATGTATCTGATGTACCACAGGTATCTCGAGCTTTTGACCGTGGGACGCACGGTTGCTCTCCATAGGGATGAGGTGCTCGAGATGCTCAACTCCTCAAAAATGATTAAACAAGCGATTAGAGCTCGATTGGACATTGTAAAAGGTGCAAACCAGACGGCATGTATTTTACGACCTTCTTATTTCTTTTCAGCTATGTGTAAAATCCAAAACCTGGACATCGGGGACCATCTGAAGAAGTTTGCTTTTGGGCTGGTGAGTACATACGCGGTCTAGATAGCGCTTTGCTAACCATATGAGACGGTAACAGTACTACTACTTCGAATTTTCAGGCGATTGGACCAATTCTGACTACTACAGGGTCTGCTACCAAAAGTCTTTCGACGGAGAGCCGCCTACAGATGACGAACAACTCGAGACGAACCCCGACAAGGTTCTCCTTAAAGGCCGTCAGAACAACGACGTCGATCTGTCCGCGTACAGCGAGCCGTTTGAACCCCGACCCGTGTGCAGGCCTGCCCCGAACTCGTCGGCATTGTGGGATGTCTGCTGGCGCGGTTTCTATATCTCCGACGCGGCTCACTGGCTCCCGATCTTTGGCGGGCACATGGATATCGACTTTCCACCTGCCGACGGGATATTCACTGGGCAAGGCGGTGACGCATTCGTAACGTTCACCATTTTCGGCAAACGAGTTGGGCGGCAGGTCGCCTTCACCAAGACGCATAAAGATGACCGAGCGAAGCAGTTTACGTGGGAAGGCACGCTCAACGACGCTGAAGACGAGCTCAGAGGAACGTAT